AATTGGTTGCTCGGGATTACTTCAAAGTTGCGTTTGTGCTGTTTCCTTAACATTAGCTGTTTTCACCGGCTCTTCGATCGGCGTTTCACGGCAGCTTGCGCAAAGCCCATAGAAATACATGGTAGAGTGGTGCGCGTCTTAGCAACGTAGAACATTCTGTGACGTAGCTCTGTTCCCGAGGATAGGCAATGTACAAAAATAATAATAGCTGGAATTTCTCATTGTCAGGTGGATTGCATTGTAACTTCAGCTGGTGGAATAGAAGAAGACTTTATTAAATGTATGGGGCCGACCACTGTTGGTGATTTTCAACTATCTGGGGCAAAACTTCTTGAAGGTGGTCTCAATAGAATTGGAAATTTAATTGTACCGAGTGATAATTATAGAAAATTTAAAGAATGGATCTACCCTATCATTGATCAGATGTTGATAGAACAACAAACTGAGGTGGGTACAATCACAAAAAAAAGCAAAAACAAGTATTTGATTGTTTGTGAATGGAATATTGATTACTAGTAGCACTCAACTATGCCAGTTAGTGTCCCTCTATCATAACAATAATGAATGGCCTACTGCGCCATATTAGACGAGTCGATTCGAAGCGAGATAGTGTGCGAGCCATATGCAATGTTATACCGGTCAACACCTCAGGAGTGCCTTTTAAAACAGTAACAATAACCATGAATCCAAGCTGAATTATCCAACATATGTAAATTAGCTAATATGAAATTTCCCCTCCTTTTTTTAGTTTCCACGAATAAAGTTAAACAAACGTAGTTCTTATTTTACAGAGTAGATAATCACACTGTCAACAAGCTGTTAAATATAAAAAAACACAAAAAACAAAAAAACAAAAAAACACCATAATTATTATACATCTGTCACCGTATTGCCATACGTTACAGGGTATTTTACGGGGTATTTTCATCCTACCATATAAGAAAACATGGCTGCCACCCAGGCTGTGACCGGACTCAACACAAAGAAGTTCGCATATTCTGTTCTAAACTTTTTGGATTTCGACATTCTCATGATGTATCCTTGGAAAGAAAAGATGTATAATAATAAGGTAATTACGAGGATACCTTAAAGTATGCACTCAGACAGTACACCGCGTATCGACCTCCGCTGCGAGTCAGTCGATACTCCAGCTGTACCGTGTCTTCGTGCATACTTTGAGGTATCCTCGTAATAACCTCATATTATTTCTATGTAATGCATGTCCGGGTGTCATTTAAAATTGTGCCATTACCTGGATTGAGATAATCAAAAGGTCATTTTTACGTTTTGTTCAGATACACAATCAGAAGTACCAATCGGAAGCTAAATAACCTCGTAGTACCTATGATTTGTGTGAATGTGATAACTTAAAGCGCGGTAGTCTTTGCGCTGCGCATTTGTGAGATATATTGGTCTCATATAAACAAAGATGACGACTTTGACTGTTGCGCAGATCAACGAGTACGAACTGAGACGTTTCCAATAATTAGTCAATTTTCATGTGATTGGAAGGTATCGAAGGAGTCACCGTAGGTAATCAGTGCAAGTCGCGCCCAGGTCAAACCTCATACTTGTGATTTCCATTTAAAGAACGCATTGGATTATGGGAACTTGAAAATCAATGTTTATCAACACAAATGTCGCACATACGCAGCGCGACGACTAACGCGCTTTAAACATTTATTTTAAGCAGGTACTCTATGTTATAATAATTAGCTGAAGAAATAAGCATTACACACTTTTATTTGATGATAAATCACAATTCGATTTTGTCTCAGTATGGAGTATCGAATAATATTATTAAAAATATATGTTTTCAATCATACTGCATCTTTGAATAATTTTCTCGTAAATGTTAAACCTTCTTATCTTGATTTTCTGTACAGGGTACAAATTGGACGCCTTCTAAAATGATTGCAAGACTTGGTAAAGAAATTGACAACCCTGAATCTGTGTATTATTGGGCCTACAAGGTTAGTGACATTGCAAAACGATTAAAGCGGGAGGGTCGTCACCTG